TAGTTAGTAGTAGGCCGTAGTAGTAGTAGTAGTAGTAGTAGTAGTAGTAGTAATAGTAGTCGTAGTCGTAGTCGTAGTAGGAGAGTAGTCAGTAGTAGTAGTAGTAGTAGAAATATTAGTAGTAGTAGTAGTCGTATAGTAAGAGTAGTAGAGTAGTAGAGTAGTGAAGAGTAGTAAGAGTAGTAGTCGTAGTGGGTATAGTAGTCGTAGTCGTAGTCGTAGTCGTAGTCGTAGTAGTAGTAAGTAGTAGTAGTAAGTCGTAGTAGTAGTAGTAAATAGTAGTAGTAGTAGTAGTAGTAGTATCGTAGTCGTAGTCGTAGTCGTAGTACTAGTATTATTAGTATCAGTAGTAGTGGTAGTAGTCGTGATCGTAGTAGTAGTAGTAGTAGTAGTAGTAGTAGTAGTAGTAGTAGTAGTAGTAGTAGTAGTAGTAGTAGTAGTCGTAGTAGTCGTAGTAGTCGTAGTAGTCGCAGTAGTCGTAGTAGTCGTGGTAATCGTAGTAATCGTAGTCGTAGTCGTAGCCGTAGTCGTAGTAGTAGTAGTAGTAGTAGTAGTAGTAGTAGTAGTAGTAGTAAATGTAGAAATGGCAGTCAAAGGAGAAGTATAAGTAGAAGCAGAAGTATAAGTAGTAGTCGTAGTAGTCGTAGTAGTCGTAGTAGTCGTAGTAGTCGTAGTAGTAGTAGTAGTAGTAGTAGTAGTAGTAGTAGTAGTAGTAGTAGTAGTAGTTCTAGTAGTAGTAGTACGCTGGGAATCCGTAACAGACCCATGCTGTGAATTCGCTGTCGTGGTAGTGGCTGGGAGCCAGTGGTTGTGGTAGCCGGCGTGCTGTATGTGAGGTGGGTGTGCAGTGTTGAAGTATGCTGTGTGTGCTGTGTGCCGTGTGTGTGCTGTACGTGTAGCCGATGTGTGCTTGAATATGTGTTGCGTGTGCTGTATATGTAGTACGTGATGAGTGTACTGTATTGTGCAAGGTGCTGTATCGTGCTGTATAGTGTTGTTATGTGCTGTAAAGTGCTGTAGTGTGTACGGTCCTGTGTACTGCTGTAGTGTGCAAGTAGTAGTCGTAGTAGTAGTAGTAGTAGTAGTAGTAGTAGTAGTAGTAGTAGTACTACTACTCGGCGTAGTCGAAGTAGTAGTAGTAGTAGTAGTAGTAGTAGTAGTAGTAGTAGTCGTAGTAGTAGTAGTAGTAGTAGTAGTAGTAGTAGTAGTAGTAGGAGTAGGAGTAGGAGTAGTAGTAGTTGTAGTTGTGGTAGTAGTAGTCGTAGTCGTATTAGTAGTAGTAGTAGTAGTAGTAGTGGTGGAGGTGGTAGTCGTTTTCGTCGTCGTTGCCGTAGTAGGAAAAGTAGTAGTAGTCGTAGTAGTAGTAGTAGTAGTAGTAGTAGTAGTAGTAGTAGTAGTAGTAGGAGTAGGAGTAGGAGTAGGAGTAGTAGTAGGAGTAGTAGAGTCGTAGTCGAAGTAGTAGTAAGTTAGCGTAGTTTTTAACAGTAGTAGTAGTAGTAGTAGAGTCGTAGTAGTAGTAGTAGTAGTAGTTTAGTAGGACGAGTAGTAGTATTAGTAGTAGTAGTAGTATAGTAGTAGGGAGTAGCAGTAGAGTAGATGTCGTGGTGGTAGTGGTAGTGGTAGTAGTAGTCGTAGTAGTAGTAGTAGTAGTAGTAGTAGTAGTAGTAGTAGTAGTAGTAGCAGTAGTAGTAGTAGTAGTAGTAGTAGTCGTAGTAGTAGTAGTAGTAGTAGTAGTAGTAGTAGTAGTAATTGTAGCAGCAGTAGTAGTAGTAGTAGCAGCAGCAGCAGTAGCAGCAGCATCCGTAGTAGCAGCAGGCGTAGTCATGGGGATTCTTTTTGGGGTTCCTGGAGATTCCTTGGGGGGACCCGCGGTTGTCCAAGGATTCCAAGGGCATATGAATTTGTAAATACTCCTCAGTAGTCATATGTGTGCATAAGTACATTCACGCCAGAACGTACATGTACACATACACATGTCTACATGTGCACAAGCACACTCAAAGGTTTCGTATGTCGACATGTGTATGCACATATAATGGCTCATGCACATGCTTATTTGTACATGCATAACTACATATGTGCTTATATGGATATACATACAGGTGTATACATGTATAGATATGTTTGTGTATGCAGACATACACATCTAATCCACATGTATATATGCATACATACATATACATATATATATATATA